AAGGGATGGTCTACGTATCTCGCTGCCATAGTAAACGTGCCTAGTGCATGTTCCAGTGATTCTGAAAACGTCAGACAAGGTGCGTCTGCTAGAGCCGTTTATATGCCTAAGAACTCCTTGTGCACCGTTGTGATCACTGGAGGAGCTGGATCGTTGCTGCCTTCTTTTTCCAGTTCTCTTACAACTCTGTTCCAACTTTGAGCAGTACTTCTCAGTATTTTCAGACATTGGGGATATTGGGAAGAAAAGTTTTCTTCCCTTCAGAGCGAGAAACTTTGGGCTTTAATTGTCTAAACCCCATGCTACCTATAATTCTGTATTTTCTCTGCTAGACAGTAGGCGTTTTTTTTTTCACATCCAGCGTTCATTTTTCCGTACTGTTCAAGCTATACATCTCGAAGCGAATCCCAGGGGGGTTTATACACTGGGTTCGCTCATTTGCCAAGCAAATTTGTTACTGGGGTTGGTCCCCTATTAAGTAAAGGTGGTCTTTCTGCCTCCTAATTTTTTACAGTGATTTAGGAAACCCATTTGCAAATTACAGATTTTTAATGTGGGTGATCCCATGTGAGTTGCAGAGAGGAAATGTTTGGTTGATCTAAATTGTCCAATTAGGACAAAGGGCATTTTTTTCCCCAACAGCAGTGAATAAATGGGCATAGCTGCCAAGCTTTCATAACGTAAGCTGTGTTTCCTGGCTGTAAATGCTGTCATGACAAGGTCTACCCAGCTGGTGAAGATTTGCTCTGAAGGAGTGATTTATCTTTTTTTTACCTCCTGTTTGTCATATGGATCTGTTCAGCTCTAATACTTCTGAGGTGCTATCTTCCCGTAAAAAAATAGGTCACATCACCTTTCAAGGGAGTTAAATTCCTGGCCTCTGTGCCCATATAGGAAGAGGTCTTGCTGTTCCTGAAAACATCGATAATCACCTGTTCCTCACCAGTCTCCCTCTGAAAGGTAACAAAGAGATCTGATAAGCTGTTTAGCAGCTAACAAACCAACAGACGTACCAGCGTTGTTCCCGCTAAAGGCTGGAAAAAGCCGTCTCCAGCAGTACTGCTGCAAGAATGTCCGCTCTTCTGAATCTGAAGAAACAAGCTGAGGGCTACTTTCTGCCTTGACTTAATTGTGTATTCTCATTGCATTACCCAGCTTACTTGTAAAATTAAATCCAATATAGGCTAGAGCTGGACTATTAGGGAGTCTAGAAATGACATTTTTATTGTGTATTTATATGACTACAAATCTTAGCTTATTAAATAACAGTAATTCAGTAAGAAACATAAAAAATACAGGATAATGTTTGCACAGGTTTAAAATGTGTGTATTCTGTGTAGAACTCTTTAAAGTGTACTCCTGCTACCTAATCTTACATCATCTTGAGTTCTTTGGGATCTGAAACAAGACAAAAGCAGTAGTCGATAGAGAGTGCACTGTAAATTCTACTGTTTACCCCAAATTCCCACTTACCTATGCTTGTTCCCTCTCCTCCATGACACCTTCCATACTGAAGTTCTACTGATACTTTGATCTTGCAAAAAATTACATAAGAAACTATCATCTGCTTGTTTTTAATTACAGCTCAGCCTGATAACTACACAGAAGAAAAAAGCTGCTTCCCTGAAGGATCTGGAAAATGTTTAAACATGTATTGTTCATTCACACCATGTCGGAGTTGAGTTAAGAAGATTGCTGGAGAAACACCATATTGGAGCATTAAAGTCAAATGCATGGCAAGGCTTGTAAAACTTACAAATGTTTTCTGGTTTGTTCAGGTAAGAAAGGGGGTGGATGAAGATACTGTACCTGTATGCATCGTAAAGACTGGAAGACGACTGCAAAATGACGTAATTAAAGGCCTTTAATGTAGCAGATGAAACAGTCTGATACAGTGCTGTGGCATATTGGTCTTTTTTGGTCTAAAAACCATGAGCTCCAACTATGACAAGATTGTATACAGGGAATAGTTAACATTATATTGAAATTCAGGAACAGCTTTGCTCACATACAGTCGATACCTTTAATTTTTCTTCGTAGTGCAGTAACTTGGGAACATTTTGAAGATCTTTTATGAATTGTAGTAAGACACTAATTATATCATGAATGTCAAATAGCTGCTGGTTTTATGGTGGGCGTTATAGCTGTGAAATGCCTCCGTTGCCTTTCAGTTTTAAGAATTCGGTTCGGTTTGTGCTGATGCCCCTGGGAAACAGTTAATAAATAAAACGCTGCCATGGCTATTCATACAGCTCATTTCTAAGGACCATAATCTTTCTCCAGTTGTACTTTTTCTTCCCAGTTACTATTTTACAATTGTTCCTTGCTTTTCTGTTGATCTGCTCCCTTGCTTTGTATGTGTCTGGGAACTTCAGTTCTCTGTTACTTCAGTCTGCACAAAGCTGGTGATGTCATCCAGCTTTTACACATTTTGAAATAGCACGTTTGAATTCTACAGATGCCAGTATGTGGGAATCCTCTTGCGTACGTGTTTTTCTCTGATAGTTGAGAAACTTCACATATATCATCCTAAAATTAGAGCTGAACTCTGTTTTCTCTTTCAGCATGTATTAGAAACAGTTGATGGGTGTTAACTGATTTTTGAAGTGCTCCCATCTTGGACTTAAGTGATGTAATTTCTTGTCCTTCCTCTTAAATGTGACGAGTAAAACTCTGGTTTATAACTTCTAATTCAGTTGACGGGTAATGCCTACCCCATGTTTGATGAGAACTGTTGTTTTGGACTAACAAACCCACACCTCTGTCGCAGTGGATCTTCACCGTATTTGCATGTTAGAGGACAGACGGGTTGATCACCCCATGAAGTCAGAAAGAGTTTGTGCCACCTCCTGAAAACCTGGCTGTTCCAGTACAGCCTGCCAGATGGATGCAACCTCAAGAAAAATTTCTGTTTACCACAGAGGAAGTTACTGTTATTTCCTACAGTTGTACACGCTTCTTTACTAGCGCTTTCTCAGTTTGATACATGCCTGTATCCATTGCAATCTCTAATTTTGCTAGAAGACTTCAAAGCTTTTTCAAAGCAACATGGATACATTCTCCAGAAGCTCTAAACGTCTGTTGCGGTGAGATTTTCATCAATCAACCATGTATATGATGCAGAGGGAGGTACGTACCAAGCACCTTATTTTCATTTGCATAATGCACATCTGAGATGATGACAGACCACCTGGAAGATTTTGTGTGAGCTATTAATCCCATTCACTCCTTAAAGAGAGGCTCTAAGCTGTGAAGTGAAACCTGGCTGAAAACGGCAGGTAATTCTAAGTTTTTGAGCAGCAGTATTCGTGTATTTGTTCCTTGAGGCACAGAAGGACACCTGCTTGGCTCCCTTTTAATTATGGGTGTATTCATTTCAACTTGTGTAGCTCTTGCGTAATGGTTATTTGCCAGAATATGAACTGCAGTGATGACACGTTCAAAGTTAAGGGGCAGCAGAGCAATTATGGCAGATGACAGAGGAAGGAAAGATTTCCCACTTTCATCTGTCTGCCTAATCCTCTGAGCAGCTAAAAATTGACCAAATACACGTGTCTAACCACAAAAGGGAACGTGGTCAAGTTAAGCTCGTCATCCTACCACCACCCCCTTTCATTTCCGTGCTCACAAATTGGACTCTGGGAGGAAAGGCACTTGCTGAGGCAATTAAAATTTGAGGCTTGCTGGTTAGGTAAGTTTTGTTCTTTCCCTCATGATACTGATTGTTTCATGGAATTGAGCAGCAGGCTTTTCAACCATCTGTCTTAGTGGTTTTACATTTGTTTCTATCTGTGTATTTCTTGTCACTCTTCCATTGAAAAGTTTTTGTTTCCCCTACCTTCCTTTCCCACCCCAACACCGGTTTTTGAGTGTTTTAAAGATCCCTAGTGTGGTATTAGTGCTTCCCATGGAGGAAAACTTTCTCCTTGACTGTGTTTATTTAGGAGAAGTTTCTAGGCGACTAGTTACTTCCATTTAACAGGTGAGAGAAAGTGACTATGAAGGTAGTACGAGTTTCATTTTGGGTCTTCCCAAGAGCCCTATACCTTCTGGCGCAGGCCAGATCTTGAAGGATCTATCACTGCATACAAGAAACTTGTTCGTTGTCTATTTAAGTGGTTAGCAAGCTGCTCTCAGCTCTGACCCAGGCTTACTGAGGTAACCCCAGCAGCGCAGTGCCTTTCAGAAAGGCTGCTGTCAGCAAGATCTATAAAGCAGCTGCAAGAACCTCTTTCAGACTTTCATCCACGCCTTGAAGAGCTTGTACTACTAACTCTTAGGAGGGCCATCCTTTAATCTTCGTTCTTTGAAATACAGCTTTGAGGGGTGCCACTCAGAGTTGCCCACCCTGTGAATGCACATGGTACGAGTACAAGATCTGGGAAAAATTATTTACCCGTAGCTGTTTTTCCAAGATGTATTGCTAGACCTATGCCTTCACAGCCTTGTCCTTTCCTTGCTCTGCTCCAAGTCCCCTTCCATGCTTCTGCATCTTGAGTTTAGAGGAAGCAAGAGGAAAGGACCTACCGTGCCCTTCACGCCTTGTCTCCTGCCGTAGCAGCAAACGTTCTCTGTCAGCATTGCTTGACTATAGGCAGTTCATAGTGTGAGTGTACATTCAGCATACTTATCTTGGAGATCTACGGGTAACAAACCTCACGTTCCTCCTCCAGTGGAACATGTACAAAGATTACGGACTTTGGAAGGACATCATACATCAACAATTGTAAACTATTTGAGGTAAGCTGTATCTCTTTGAGGATCTCGAGGAAAAAAGCATCCAATTTTCTGTTGATGGGATAGGCGCGGCTGTCAGTAACAAGACCCTATACTGTTCCTCAAAAAGAAGAAAAAAATCTTTCTCTTGCAACTGCGTTTTGATACCTGTAATAATCCAAATTAAACGCTGATTTTAACCATGGAAGTTGTTCAGATCATTGCAGTGAAGTGTTTATGTGAAAACCCAAACAAAGTAACTGCTGCAAATTCTAAAACGCTGCTGGCAAGGATACTGCAAAAATGTACAGCATTTATTCACATACAGACAACAAGGCACAATTCTACTGAATATTTTAACAAAAAATACAGCTGTCTTCAACTAGGTCTTTATAAATACTTCAAAAAAGGGAGAAAATAAATACAGGATTGGGCCATGTAATATAAAATAGTTATCTCTACATATACTTTTTATTTCTATAACTTTCTCTTCATGCACCTTTTTTAATTAATTTCAGCTGAATGGACACCAAAGCTAGGCACATAGTGAAAAATCTTCTGTACAAGGTTTTACAAATGTAATGACAATTTTCTCAAATTTCTGAAATTAAGATTTATACACAACACGTATAACCCTTCATTTAGATTCGTGTGAGTTTATAACCTAACAAATGGCATTCCAGGCAACTTTACAGAAGTTCAACTAGCCTACAGTTTGACAGAATACACCAATCATAATCAAAGATCTCTTGGTCAGCCTGCACAAGGAAAGGTAATGCTTAAAAACAGAAATTCAGTAAATGGTTCTATCCCAGTAAAATACAGGGGTGGGTTTGTATTGTCACTGCTGTACTTACGACACCTCTTCCGCTGAGCGCTAAGCGTGGGAGACAAAACTAACCTACAGAGCTGGTCATACTGCAGTCTTCTTACAGCTTTTTTTGGTTTTGGTTCAGCTTAAGTTGAAACATTAGAAAGCTTATTAACCTAAACGTCGGGGAGCAAAACAGATAAGGCATTAATTCTGCACAACGTTAGCATTCATAATAGTGCAAATTAACAAGGTACCTCTTCCAAACTGGTGCGAGGTTAAATGTTTACCTAGAATCAAAATTTAGATTATTCCATCTATGGCTTGGCAAACAATTCCCTATATGGTCACGAGCTTCTTTCTTACCAAAAATAACAGTGCCTGTCTGGAAAACGTTGCTGTATGTCGAGTAGAACTTACCTCCATTTACCTTTTGTCTGTCTGTTGTTGTTCGAGCAAGTGCGTGCTTTGCTTTTAACGCAGCCCAAGAGTGACTACCTAATCTCAGATTCACCAGTGCCCTGTTTGACTTTCACCTCTGTAAGTAAGTCATGAAGTTAATCTAACTTCTTGGGACCAGCAATGGTATTTTAAAAGTAACATCTTACACAAAATTCCCGTTCTCAAAGGGTTAAGACTTCTGAGTTTTAAAACAAATGCTAGGGATGCATTCTGTTGAAATGTTCCATTAAGTGGTAACTTGCATAGCAAGATAGGGTGTTAATAAGCCTTTTTTTTTTCTTTTTTTTTTATTGAATCCTCTGGAAGACTGGGTTATGGCAGAGTTCTACGGTGTTATAAATATTCCCTGCTCAAGAGGCAAGGGTCTAACATTAAAAAGTGAGTGGATGTGATAACGGCAGGCTAGGAGTAGGGAAGGGGGGGAAGGGGGTTCTTTATGCCTGTCTTTCCGTAACACACTGCTGCTTAAACTTTTTCACCAGTACGTACCTGACTTACATCTATGCAGAATTCCAAAATTTACAGGCTCCTAACGCTCCACTGTTACATGTGCACCCTCCTTGGTACAAAACGATATCCTAATGATCTGTTAGTATTATTGCTCATAGCTTACTAGTTATTGCCATTTGCAATTATTAAAAAAGTACACAATCAGAATATGAGTTCCCTCTTCCATCAAATCTAGTCCAGAATAGAATGAAATAGTTTTTCTTCATTTGACTGTAAAGAGCTAATCACAATTTATTGCCTTTCCATTTTATTCTATTCAAAAATATATATTCATGTCTATTTTAAAGCAACCCTTTAGTGTCATAAGCCTGGCTTTCCCAATACATACCAATAGTGCATATGTGGTGGGCTTTGGGAAATCCTACTGACTAGTGCCTTAGAAATTTTTTTTTCTTGAATTGTCATCATACTCCCGGAGGCAGGTGACTGACTACACGGTGACGGGTCATTCCACAGGGTGCAGTAACCCACAAGCCTGCCCCGTCTCAGAACTGAGCCGTTCGAGAGCGTCCTCTGTGCTCGGTCCAAGTCTTTTCACGCTGTTGCACTGTAAGGCAGCTGCAGCCCTGACCTGTCCCTTCCTCCTCCTCCAGTATAACGTCATGGTGAAATCTGGTCATCGCGTAGGTGTATTTACATGTAAACTCTGGAGCTTACGGAAGGTTTTGAGCTGCCGTCTACGCTCAAACTGAATGCAACAGAAAACATGCTGCAAACAGAGGAGAAAGGCCTACCACCATCCAAGGAAAGTGACCATTTGTAACGGGGTTTAGCAGTGCAGTACGGTTAAACAACCATCTTCGCTTCAATACACGCTAGTTAAATTAAGAGCTTGTGCTTTTCCAGAAGGCAGGGGAAGGGAGTAAAATTTTACCAGTGCTTTTTAGCTAAAAGGGATGAATGCAGCCTACTTCCCCCCACCCACCCTAGCCCCTTCTAAAAGGTTTTTGTGAGTTACTGTAGTGTTCATCACAAATCCTATTTTAGTAGTGATGTCGTTTCTCTGCTTACTCAGGAAAGTTGCAAATAAAGGAGATTCAAACTTCTCACAGAATTGGGGGGCGGCAAAAAAAACAGCTTTAAGTGCATGTAAACATGTTTATACAGCTCAGGAATAACGGGTTATCAATTTGTCAGTCTGTAGCCATGTCTAAGAACTCTCCTCTCTCACACCAATAAATAATGTGGAGTTGGCTTGTAGGCAGTGACTCTACTGACCACGGTGCTGACACCGTGTGCCTGGGTCCAGTCAGGATGCCAGGATGCTTCTCCTAATAATGTCCGTCCTTCTGCTGATGGTGCTGTTTGGACTGAGCCTCTGCTGCCTGCACTTTTTTTCAGCCACTTCAGTCTCCGAGTCGCTCATTTCAGCATCGGGGATGTACCCATCATTCTCGCTGTCGGGCTTTAGCTTGCTTTTTGCCCTGTCCTTCGGTGAAACTCTGCCCACGCCCAGGTAGGGGTAGCTGGAGTTCTGGCGGCAGGTCTCCTCCGGGCTCTCGCCCTGCTGTTGCCTCTCTCCCTTCTTTGGAATTCGGAATCCGCCCCAGTTTTTCACCGGGCTCGTGGGCGTCGTAGGCACTTTAACTACTGTCTGATTAGAGTTTACTTTGACAAGACCCCCGTTGCATTTAGGCACTATATCCCTCCGCGTGCCAGGTGCTGACCTACCACTGGAGTGGTTCACAGCCCTTTTATTTTCCAGTTGCCTCTGAGAGAGTTCTGTGGGTCTCAGTGGTTTGTGGTTGTGTTTAGAAGTCTTTTCCTTTAGTTCTGGCTTGATCACCTCACACTGTGGACGATTGTCTCTTCTTTTTCTGTGGTCTGGTATAACTATGCCATTTTTCTGCTGTGCCGATACAATCCGTGTTTCTGCAAAGGTCTTGTCAAAATTTAAAAAGCTACCTGGAGCTGCACCGCCTTCCCTTTGGCTGGGCTGCCTCAGCATGGATTTGCTGTCATTCCCAGAGCTGTTTCTTACTCTGTCTCTCTTGTGTGGTTTTTTCAAAGAGTGGGTTAGAGACGTGCCCATTTGCTTCCTGAAGAATGCAGAATGCCATTTCAGATCCTCTATCTTAGGGGCATTGGGGCCCAAAGATGGACTATTGAACAACACCGTGTTTTCCATTGAGGAGAATGAGGAAGGCACACCTAAATGTAAACAAATTAAGTTAAAGTCAAGCAATTCCCTGTCTGGGTAAACACCGCTTTTGGATGTACCTATTTTAACTCTGTTCCTCATGCCTGACACGTTCTTCGGCACACATGGGTGCCTATCCAGCACCTTGACATCATGATTATGTGGCTATGTCATGGTTTCACAACATACTGCTGGTGTAGTTTACTTTCCTGTAGCTGTGCTGCACATAATTACACTTGTAGCAAATATAAATTCTAGCACTATTATATCCACTGAGACAGAGAGACTCCTCAGAGGTGGGGGGGAAAGCAACCAGCAAGTAGAGCTGATTGATTCTGTCTAAAATCTGGCTTATTAGTTACTGAATACTTTAAGGATAATCTAGTTAATGCAGTAACTTTGAAGTTATTCATCCTTCTGAGAAAAGACTGCTGTCAATGAGATTAGGCAAAAAACTCACGTCGTTTTAAAACCAGAGTGCCACCTTTTCAAAATTCGTTTCTCTGAACTGCCATCTACGATGCAGAGCAGCGCATACTCAACACTAATGCAGCGGCACTGATAAACCACAGATTTACTAGGTACCGTACGGCTCTTGACTGTAAGTCGTGGTCTCTCTGTCCTAAGGAGTCATTAAAGAATCACACCAGAAAGGATCTGAAGCAGCAAGCCATCCAGCGCCCCATGGATAAGAACACAGACTTACCAGTTTCTACAGCAATGTGCCCACCATTAGAGCTCGTTCTCATTTTTCCTTCCAATCTGCTGATGCATGGTGGACCACACAAGATTTTATTGAGAATAAATGAGGTCCCATTTGTCCTTCAAAATTAGTCATTAGCCTGTAACCAAACCTTTCACTGCTTGTGCCTGTGGTCTCATGTGAAAAAGATAACACTGAAGCGTACCTGAAACTCTTTCTTGTTCCAGCTGCTTTGCGTAGATATTAAATATCTGTTCTTGAACTTTGCAAACAGATCTCTTGATTTTCTCCCTTCGGGTCACCATGTAAGTGAGATTACGCACCTAGAAGACATCAAGTTGATGAGTTTTACAGGAATTGTGTTTCTGTAATGTTGTCAGTCTATGCTTTGAATTAATTCAGTTTAAGTAAGTACTATACACCATTTAAACAAGTTAGTAATGTATTTAAATTTAACCTTCTTCAACACGCTTCTTAGAAAAGGGTCTTAAATACCATTTAATTGACAGATTATTCCATCAGATTTGGGAAGGCCACAGCACAGAAGTAACTTCTATGAACACCTGAATCATATATACACACACACACACACACACGTGTACAGGAAATCTAGAGAACTGCTGGAAATGCTTAAATACACTCAGTATTAAATAGCCTAGCACCATTTGCTTCTTACTGTTTGAGACACAACAGAAAATTATACTAAATTAATAGTATGAAAATGTGGAGAGCTATTGAACAGTACCAGTATTTCTGATGACCCTGCCATTGCAGTATGACTGATCAAAATGAAGGCAGACCAGTCGATTCATGCCATAGCACAATGGAGGCAGCAGGGACTGGAAACAGTAAGGAAATTATTTATTTTTTTAATTTAAAAATAATTTATTTTTGCTATCTCAGTTTTTTTTAGAGGAAAACTACATTTCTGCCCTTAAAATGTGACTGTCTAGTCTAGACAGCTGTGTAAGTTTCACAACCACTGCTCTCCTAGAGCTTCAAAGCAGTTTCTTTCTCAGAAGAGGGAATCGCTGAGTATACCTGCGTGTTTCCAAGGCTCCTCTCTCAGTTCAGTGTAGCTGCATACAGCATGGTGCCCCGTGGACTACAACCTTGTAGGCTGATCTCGCGACCATTAATAATCCAATGGCATCCTGGCCTGTATCAGAAATAGCATGGCCAGCAGGAGCAGGGAAGTGATCGTGCCCCTGTACTCGGCACTGGTGAGGCCACACCTCCAATACTGTGTTCAGTTTTGGGCCCCTCACTACAAGAAGGACGTCGAGGTGCTGGAGCGTGTCCAGAGAAGGGCAACGAGGCTGGTGAGGGGTCTGGAGAACAAGTCTTATGAGGAGCGGCTGAGGGAGCTGGGGTTGTTTAGCCTGGAGAGAAGGAGGCTGAGGGGAGACCTCATTGCTCTCTACAACTACCTGAAAGGAGGCTGTAGCGAGGTGGGTGTCGGTCTCTTCTCCCAAGTAACAAGCGATAGGACGAGAGGAAATGGCCTCAAGTTGTGCCAGGGGAGGTTTAGATTGGACGTGAGGAAAAATTTCTTTACTGAAAGAGTGGTTAAACATTGGAACAGGCTGCCTAGGGAAGTGGTTGAGTCACCATCCCTGGAAGTATTTAAAAGACGTGTAGATGAGGCGCTTAGGGACATGGTTTAGTGGGCATGGTGGTGTTGGGTTGACAGTTGGACTTGATGATCTTAGAGGGCTCTTCCAACCTTAATGATTCTATGATTCTATTAAGGAGGAGACGTTTAACAAGTGTGACCCTTTTTGCTAAGGTCCTGCTCTATTTAAGGCTTCTGGTCCCGGGACAGCCACTACTTTTAAGTAGTTAATGTCACTACTCCGTGGATTTGCATCAGAAGGAATTTGTCTAGCCTGGTACCCTTTCTGATACAGTCCATGGCCTTTTGTTCTCTGCCTCGTCTGAGCCAAGCTGCACAATGGATGCATCGCGTCCACAGAAGTACCTGTTTCATTAGGTGAAGCGGGTGATGGGATTTCAAAATCTGTTTCTAGATGGATGACACTGTCACTAATGCCATTCATGATCAAGTCTACCTGACTTTATCTTGAAGAGGTGTAAAAAACGTAGGCCCCGTTTTTGGGGGTTTTTTCATCCATGTTATCTTGGATGTACAGTCAGTGGGAACAATGGAGTAGTAAAATACTAAAAATATTTCTAGAATGATGTATCCTGTTTTGACATCACACTTAAAAATGGAAAAGGCCACATACAGAATAATTTAAGATCCAGAGAACATAGTGACAAACTCAACTTATTTAGCTGATCAAAGAGATTAGAAGAAATCTTGAGCACACACAGCAGGAACAAAAGATACTAGGTAACGGCTATCTCACCGAGCTAGAGAAGAGTCATGGGCTGGAACTTGAAACTAGAAAAAAACAACTTCAAAAGAAAAACTGCAACGATTCATTAGAAGAGTAATTAGCCATGGGGATCCTTTACAAAGGATGCAGTAGATGCATGAGCACCTGCTGTCCTGATTCAAAGACTAGACAGTATTCTGGAAGAAAGGCTCTAGTTCACCCACAGGTTACTGAGGTTGAGGTAGGACCTCCTGAGCCAGGTTCCGTACGTGGCCTGCATGAGCCATACGCTGTATGGATGTGAAAAACTAAAATAATTTCAGTACTCTCTCTGGCTCTAACGTATCTTAAACTCTACTAGTTAACTCAAAAAAACCCCAAACCACCAACCCAAAAAGGAAGAAATTCAGGTCGTTACAGGATCAGATGTACTTAAGATAAAACACCACGATGATCCTACTGAACCGTTCTTTGAACGTTCAAAACCTGATTGAGTGGAATACCATGTGCCTCCCAAACCTGCTACGCAGATAGTCCAGTGAAATGTCATCCTACTACGCTGTGTCAATGTAAAACAGATCTGCTGCGAATCAAGGTAAGTTTCATAATTTTTCCTTCTTGTGCACCAGATGAAAGGAGCAGAGAAAGCCCTAAAAGGCTAAAAAAGCTCCAGCTGGGTGTTGCAGTACAGCCCACCGCCGTCAGTGTTAATCGGTAAAAAAGCAGAAGCGGAAATAGGACAATCCAGTTGTAAGGAGATTGGATACTACAAGCCAAGACCTGCTGGCCCTGTGAACTAACCCTCTATTCGAAAAGGGTAACTGGTGTGCTTTGTAGAAATTTAGCGTTAATGGTCTTCTCTGACAATACAACTTTGAGTTAAGATGCAGCGTGGAGTGCCTGCATGCAAGGGCACTACCTGAGAGCGTATTTTGGGAACTCGGCTAACGAAGGCCAGCACACCTCGCACAAGCGCAGGCAGGGCAGTGGCTTACCCGCTCTAGATCCTGCCGGAGGTGTGTGAAGAGCTGCAATCTTCTGAACAGAACATCCTGTTCCCGTTTAGCCAGATTGTCCTCTTCATCCTTCTTTGGGGTAATCAAAGGCTTATTGAAGTTGGCTTTTCTCTTCAGCTTCCAGTACTGGTAAAGGAATCCCACCGGCTCCTCGGGCAGCCGCAGCGCTTTGGCCACTTCCAGAGACTCAACAAACGTATAGAACTCATCCTCCAGCTGCTGGAGCTTTTGCTTGCGGAGGCTGACTCTGTGGGCCTCCTCCTGGTTTTGATCCATGCTGTGGAAAGGGTCGATGTGGGCAGGAAGAGAGCTGTCCTGAATCCCGTTCTCCTGACCTGGGCTTTCATTTAAAGTCTCGTCATCTGCTTTCTTGGTGGAGCTGTGCTTGGGACAGTATGACTTAAATTTCACCTCATCGTTCTCTGCCAGTATGGTCTTCATCTCCAAGCCACGGTCAAACGCACAGGTGACATGAAAGGCTGTTCTGCAGTTCTTCACGGAACACTACAGAAATTAAATTAATCAAATATTAATTTAAGAAGCCACACTGCCTAAAACTATTCGAGCAGCCAGGACTGCTTTGGAAGAACCACCCTGTTACCACACTCTGCTTCTAAGCTGCATGTACTTCCTTGCTCTCCTTTAATTAGCTTTACGATTTAGTGCTTTCAGGCCAGGCAATGATCGAGTGGCCCAGTGGGACAGGAGTGGTTAACCCCTCCCTAGCCCAATCACGCTATTCAATAACCAGCAAATCCACAAGAGGAGCGTTCTTACCGTCACCGGAGCCGCTGACATTAAGGCAGCGTTACACAAAGGAAAATGTTCCCCCTTTGACTGTGCCAGCATCGGAGAGAGGGAAAAACATCTCAGTGGCTCCAGGCCAGTCTGGTAGTTTTAATTAAAAGCCTTTCCCAGGACCTGGACCCACGCTACCCAAAAAGCCTCAACCAAGGGGAATTTTTCTTCCCCCGTTATCCTGATTTTATAATGTCACATCTGAAATCACTGTCAATCACTACTTCACTGACTACAGCCTTCGCTTCACCTGGGGGATGAGGAGAACAGGAAGTTCAATTTTTTGTCATTTTTCTTCCCTCCCAGGGAACCCAGCCATCACAGAGCAATGGGCACTAGTTCAGCCAATTTAGCACTTCATTTCAATTATACGTAACTTTCTCTTGCAAAATGCTGTTGTAGCTATTGGCAGCCATAAACTGAAAGGTTTAAATATATGTGTGTCTGTACGGACACACACGCATACATATGCATTTGTATCAAGTCACACCTCTGCCTCCAGTGAAAAGAATCTGAAGTGGAAATGAACATTAGTGCTATTAACTAGGAGGAAACAAAACTATGCTTAACCCAAGTCACCTAACCTTAAAGAGAAATGCGTTGCACTAGGATGTTTATACAGTACTTTGTAAAGAAGCCAAGTATCTTTCTCCTCTGGGTTTTCCTGCTCAGGTTGACTCAGCAGCCAGATGGCACGTAAAGGTACAACAGAGTTTAAAATGAACATTCTTTAATAAAATCAACATATAAAAGGAATTAAAAAATACCAAAACATCTTTTGCCCTTTCCTCTCTTACTAACAAACAAGGCAGAAGCAGCCCAACGGAAACACCAAACAGCACAGAAGAGTACTTTAGCCATGGTTTCCAAACTGCTGTCGTTGAGAATAATCAGCTCTTAGCCTGGCTAATGTTTTATTGGGAGAAGAGGGGAAAGCCTGTCTCATCGGAAGGAAATCTGCTGAAC